GGAGTCTGGCTGCAAATGGATATGGAAGACGGCGACAAGAAGGCTGGTTGCAGCGGCAAAGCTCATTCCGGCGGAGCTGGTTGCAGTGGCTTCGATATAACCTATGACCGTCGACGAGACAAATAATTCTTATCGGCGGTCGGCGCTGGGTGGTCGCCGGAGCGAGATCGTATGGTGGCGGCGGCCGGTGAGTGTGTGTTTATGTTAATCTGAAAATCCAGTGTGTGTTGTGTGCGAAATGAGAATGATGGTGTAGGTGGCGATGGGTGAGATGGGAGATGATGGATGTGGGTCCCACATAATGAGATGACATTATGACTACTTTACCCTTAATTAATGGTCAAATACATTTGTTTGACCATACTATTACTACCTAGTTACTATGTTGCCATTAATGATTGACCATTATTTATTAAATTTTAACTTGATCATGACCATTAATGTAATGGATCCAATGGTCCAGAATTATTCTTATTTCTTTCATTGTGCTTCATTCTCATTTGAGCATATTTCTATATATATAAGGTTGGGTTCAACTGAGAATGGTGCTCAATGAAAGAAATAAGAATAGATTATAGTTATTAGATAGGATGATCTAATGGCTGCAAAAAAAATAAAGTCAAAATTACACCATCATTAAGGGTATTATGGATATTTACTCACATACAAACTATACACCACATTAGTGGACCCCACCCAAATTAAACCCTTCCCATTCCCCAGACCCCATCTGTCACCCACGTTACCCTCTGCCTCTCCCACACACTCTCTCTCTCCCACACTCTCTCTCTCACGCACACACACACACATTACAGACACAGTGCATACACACGCACACGACACATACACACAACAGACACTCGCCGGCGGAACACACACACACTCGCCGCGGAACCTTCAGCCGTCCATAGTCGTCGTCATGTTGTCGCCGCCATCACGACTCCGCTGCCGCCGTGCCACAACTGCCGCTGAACCTCCTCTGCAAATTCCCATAGTTTCCTCCGTCACCGCAGCACAACACTTGCACAGTCGACCCCCATATTTGCTTTTTGCCTCTAGCTGTGAGCAACATATTTCGACCTTCGTCCGCCACTCGCAACCGATTCAGTCCAAGAAGACCGCCACTCGCCGCCGATCGAAGAAGGCATTAATCGATCTCCGGCAGCAACGCGCATCGAGGCCGACGTCTTTGAGTTGCAGCGACTCTATTTTCTTGAGGTGTCCCGATTCTCCAAGCCGTCGACTCCGTCGCCCGCGTTGAGGGAATGGCAGCATTCCGTCGAAATGCCTTGTCGTTTCGGGGCTGGGCGGGAGCGGTCGCCGGTGCCGGCATCGGAGACGGCTGAAAAACGTTTTGGAGATGGGGACTTTATTTGAGAAATTTGATAAGTGTCAAAGATTGATTTGCAATTTAAAGAATTTTATATAATTGCAGATAAACCCCCGGGGTCTTATCTATAATTTCAAAAAGGTTTAACTATATTACTATTTAGTCCATTTGTCAAATTTATAATTTACAGAAAATATATAAAAACATATTATTTTGTAAATATTTTTTATACATACATAATTGATGTATTTTAAACCAAAAATAATATAAAATATTAAAATATAAAATACATTTTTTATAATATAAATAATAATCTAATTTTAACCAATCAAATTATTCCAGTTCACATAAAAATATTCTCGCAATGGTGCACACTAGTGAATATCAGACTGCACAATAATGATATATCAAATGCACAATAACGAACGTGATAATGCACATTAGTATAACAGTGTATTTTGTGCAACGACATCGTGTGATAAAAAAAAATGTTGTTATGCTAGTGTTCATCTTTTCACAGATATTAGGTTCATTTGTTGCCTTTATTTAATAATAAAAATAAAAATAAATTTACAAAAAAAGAAATATGAGAACTGACCAAACTATACAAAAATATTATTCTTTATATTTTATCTATATACGTGTATTATTTATTTTCAACAAACAATGATATAAAATAATAAATAAAAATTATAATAATAAATATATTTTTTATTATATAGATAATATGATAAATGCAAAATAATGTTGATTGAATTACACATTATTAACGCTTTCTAAAATTGAGAATGCACACAAAATAATCGCTCAATAGACTAGACAATAATGCTAAAAGGAATGCACACAGTATTAGACGGATTGCACATTAGTGAGCGTCAGATTGCACATTATCGAACTGAAATATAAAGTTTCAAAGTAAACTATATAAATTATTGTTATTATTATTGCTATTATTATTATTATAATTATTATTATTATTATNTCAATTTCAAAATACTAACTACAATATTATAAATATACATAATAATTGAAGTTTGATATTTTGGTTAAATCGTTTAACTGGCCGAAATGACTATCATATTGCATTTAGTGATTGCACAAATGCATATTAGCATAGTACATAAAAACAATCTGCATATTAGTGATTGCACAAACAGGGGCGGATCTAGAAATTTACATGAGTGGGGGCCTAAGTTGGTTTTTATAACTAACCATCAGAATTATAAAACGAAATTATAGGTTGCAATTGTATATATTTTGTTTTCCAAAAAGATTGTCTCATCTAAAAATAGATATAAAAAAAAAAGTGATTTAGATTTTAAATTGTGAATGAATACATGATAAAAATGTAATAATTAAAGATGATCTGATTTAATGACATATAAAGACATTATAATGAATTAATAATAATATTATTAGAAATTATAACATAATATGAATTTATTATATTTTAATTGTGTTACTTGTTGAAAAAAAAGGTGGGATGAAATATAATATTATTATGATTTTTTTATTATTTTTCTCAGTTTCAACAATACAAATCTTGATTGAATGAAAAGGAAAGAAAAAAGTCATATATCCAATTAATGTTTCTCCTTTTATTATTATTTTTTTATTTTTTAAAAACACAATTAACTATTAGTCATAAATATAATTTAAAGTTATTTTGGTGGAAACTTGTATATTTATGTGAATTATTAATTAACTAAAAATTTTGTGATCAAATTTAAAGTGCGTTATGTGATAACTTATTATTTATGTATTATTAATTCCAATAATTTTGGGATCAAATTTAGAATCAACTTGACTATGTTAGTGAATCAATTAACATAATTAAGAAGGTTTTTTATTTTTTTCTTCTTATGATATAAGTCATATTAAGTAAATGATCAATTATATATACATATCTAAGCAAAACAGGATAAATAGTGTCAATTTATGTAAATAAAAAAATTATAATTAATGATGGTAAAACAAAATGCAATAAGTCATTTTATAATTTAAAGAGAGAGACAATTATATCTTCCTAAATGCACCTACACAATGTAAATATATGACCCTAGTCTTTAAAATTCTTTTGTAAAATTCAGTGTGGGCCTAGGCCCACACTGGTTCCATACTAGCTCCGCCCCTGTGCACAAATGCATATTAGCATAATACATAAAAACAATCTAATTATATCAATTAAATTGCAACAAAGTCATTATTACTTGTCTAATTTCCAAAATTAAGCTCCCATGTACAAAAAAAAAAAAAATCAATATCTCTTCAAATCTCTTTCTCTCTCTCACACACACTGTTCAGCCACCCATCGTCCGCCACCCGCTTCCCCCGTCATCCACCCGACGCCGTCTGTGTACCACCGTCATTCACCAGACGCCGCCCGCGTCCCAGCCGTCTCCTGCCGGCGGATCTCCTCGCGACTACGAGTTCGCCGGCGCCGGGACCTACGCCAACAATTTTCCCATTGGCTACCTCGTGGCCGACGTTTCGGCGCCGAAGCCGGCTACAGCTCTGTAACCTAAGGTTTCTTCTCCGTCGACACCGGCGAGCTCTCTCAATGGATTGCCGACGACGAGCTATCTCGACGGAGCGCCGGAGGTGATGGCGGCTGCAGGATATGGAGGCGGCAACAGGACTGCCGGAGATGATGGCGGCGGCGGACTATGGTGTCGGCGACAGGAGGCTCGACGGTGTTCGAAATGGCCGACACCCTCAGTGTGTGTTTGTGTGTGTATCGTAAATATGTGCAGGTGCAGAGAGAGATATAGATCTACTATATGTTTTCTGTGTGAATGTGTGAGAGAGAGAAACTGGGTTGGTGGTTTGTGGTGGGTCCCACATTATGAGTTGAACTGATTTATAATGACTATAAGACCCTTAAGGCATGACTGTATATAATTTCAACAGTAAATATCTCACTCAAAACTCAAATTTAACTCAATCTTAACTCAACTCTACTATCTCCAATATTATCAATATAATTACATAATATCAACCACTCATTATTACACATCACATCAACTTTAATTCACTATTCATTCACTCACATAATTTTAACTAACTATCACTTCCAATCATTTTCTCCTACTTTTACATCAAATCAACTTTAATTATTTTAATTTAAATATTATTTTAATATATCCGCTAACAACTAATCATACTACTTATTTAAAACTTAACTATAGTTAAAAAAAAAAACTAGTTTTTTACTAGTTGAATTCATATCCAATTGGTTAAATATATATACATTTGACTATAATGTGTACGTTAACTTACCATACTGTCAGTAATGATTGACCAAAATTTGACTTGATCATGACCATTAATTTGATTAATCCAATGATTTAAATATATTCTTATTTCTTTCACTAACTCTTTTTCTCATTTGATCCTAATTCTATATACATATATATAACCATGATAAATGATTATAATTGTTATCATATCATTTTTTTTTTTAAAATCATTCACCATAAAAAAATTTGTTATCCCTTTAAAAAAAGTTTATAAACTTTATAAAAGAATTGTTATGCTTTTAAATAAAGTTGATAAACTTTAATAGAGATGTTTCTGTATTTACCAAGATTTTTAATTAATGGATTGGGTAAATCAAATCAAATCAATCAATCAATAAATCTGTGCAAATAATAAACAAACAATGCTAAAATGAAAACAAAAAAGAGATAAAAGTCGAAAGATTACGGCTACTAATACTCTTTTTTTAGTAATTAATAGATTTCTTTATCAAAACTTATACATTCTATTAATAGTAAATACTTAACCTCCTGTTTAGAAGCTCCGAAAATGCATCGACTCAGATGACATTACTCGGTTAATACGCATAAAATGCAACACTAGTCTAGTCAACAGCCTCAGTCCAAGTTACCAAGACCTGCACTATGCATGGCCACTTAAAATGTAGTAATAGTAATGGTATAAGTTCAATGAGCAGTAGCAGTCCAGTTAGACGGTAATCTAGACGAACTTATAGGCGGCATGTTGCGAACATTCACGTCAAGAGGCAATAATCGGTACTGAATGTCGAGTTCTCTGAAGGTGTTGACCATATCCTCCACAAGTAGGGCCCGCCGGACCCACCTCTCACCCATGTCCTGATGATTCATCCTGTGAGTTAGCCAAACTGAGAACTTGATTCGGTTCATGTCCTCAACATCTCTCATAACAATCATCGGCTCTGGCTGCCAGTGGTCACTCCTCTTCTCCACATACCTGCGCGCCAATTGCAAAATACCCAAATTACCATTGGCAACAAATTCAGAACAAAGAAGGCACAGTTTAGTTTATTGAGCTTGAAGAGATT